AGAGCAGCAGCACAGCCTCCACAAATTAAGCTGTAAGAAAACCCTGCGAAATTCATTGGACTCAACAGTCACCTTGAGGAAACATGCACAAACATGTGCAACCTTTAAAATGTTAACACTTTTGTATGTACAGATCTACAAAGAGCTGGGGCTGCTACTTTTTCTTTTTCATACACATGCACATTCTTCCATTTCTATTTCCTCATACATAGATGTTCCTTGATAGATTTCAAAGATGCTTCAAAATAAATAATTATCCATTACCCTTCCACTACCAGGAACACCCCCACTCCAACAAAAGAAAAAAGGATGAATCTGTGTGGCAGAGAGGACCTCAAGGAGACAGGATACATTTGGAGTTAATTTCACAGAGCTCCACGTTTTTGAATGTGATTATATATCCGCTCAGCTGCCCCCATGTGGTGGCATGGAGAATTCACAGACACTTTGCACAGTAATTAACCTGGCATGCTCCTTTCAAAAACCAAAATTATTTTTTTAGAATTATATCTTTATACTGTATCACAGAAATGGTACATTTGAATTTTAACTCTTTGCCTTTCATACCATGGGATCACTCGGGAAACCTGGTTAAAAAAACACGTCAAAAAATCCTAATGCAGATCTAAGAAAACCTACAAGCACCCCCGCCACCCAAAAATGAGCAGGCACAGAGGTGGCAAGAACTGGCACCGCATGGAAAAATATGTAAAATAGTATTTGAATAGTTGGATATCATATTAGAATTATCCTGTGGTTTGTGCCAGCTCATATAAGAACAGAAGCACACACCTTCAATGGGAATGAGAAGCGACACTGAATGGGTCCGAAATATGGGCATGTCTAATGGATGGATTATTTTGGAAGAATTGACCAATCAAAAGACGGGAGGGAGAACAGAGGCCTCTGCCCTGGACCAACGAGCTACTGTGCCTAGCAAAGCAAATGGATGGACTATTTCTGTGTTGCTTTCATTTGTTGCATAAAAGTTCATGGGGGTACTTTCGCTGTATTCTGGTAGGGAAGAAAGACTAAATGTATACTTTGTTACATTTTATAGTGATACAGACAGAAGGAAAACTGCTTTCAAGAGCAACTGTTATTTGTGGTGTGGGTTTGAGCAGGAATATGTTATATCCATATTAAGCAGAGTGTAGCAAGACTAGCTCTAGCAAAGGATCGTCATTTTGTTGCGGTGCTGGAGCCTCAATGATGCCATGAGCAAAACCATGAAGGGACAATCCAAGACGGGAAGGTCATGGTATAGAGGTCAGACTAAATGCAATCCTGGGAAGGTAACGGTAACTCACCCCAGTATTCTTGCCATGAAAACTAAATGGATCAGTACAACCAGAGATATGCTGGTACGCCATCGGAAGATGTGACTTCCAGGTCAGCAAATGGTCAAAATGCTATTGGGGAGGAGCAGAGGATAAGTTCAACTAGCCTTGGATGTGATGACACAGCTAGCTCAAAGCCGAAAGGAAAGCTAGTGGCCAATGATGCTGGAGTGAACAACGAATCCGATGCTCTAAAGATCAACACACTAAAGGAACCTGGAATGTAAGATTTATGAGCCAGGGCAAACTGGATGTTGTCATTGGTGAGATGTCAAGACTAAAAATAAACATTCTGGGGGTCAGCAAACTGAAATGGACTGAAATGGGTCTCTTCACAACAGATGACCACCAGATCTACTACTGTGGACAAGAGGAACATCGAAGAAATTGAGGAGCCTTCATAATTAATAATAAAGTCGCTAAAGTGGTGCTTGGATACAATCCAAAAAATGACAGAACAATCTCAATTTGAGTTCAAGGCAAGCCATTTAACATCACAGTGATCCAAATATTTGCCCCAACTGCAGCTGCTGAAGAAGCAGAAGAAGATCAGTTCTATGAGAGAATGCTTCTGAAACATGGCCATACACCCGAAAACCCTACAAACCTATGAGGATCTGCAGCACTTACTGGATAACACATTAAAAAGAGACATTATTTTCATTACAGGAGACTGGAATGCTAAGGCGGGTAGTCAAATGACAACTAGGATCACAGACAAACATGGTCTGGGTCAACAAAATGAAGTGGGACTTAGGCTGATAGAATTTTGCCAGGAAAACTCACTGTGTGTAATGAACACTCTCTTCCAACAACCTAAAAGATGGCTTTATACTTGGACTTCACCAGATGGTCAACACCAAACTCCTTTGCAGCCAAAGGTGGCAGACATCCATCCAATTGGTGAAAACAAAACCTGGAGCTGACTATAGTTCCGATTACGAACTTCTTATTGCACAATTTAGAGTCAGCCGAGAAAGATTAGGGAAAACCCACAGACCAGTTAGATATGATCTTACTAACATTCCTAGTGAATATACAGTGGAAGTGAAGAATAGATTTAAGGGATTAGATGTAATAAATAGAGTACCAGAAGAACTATGGACAGAAGTCCGTAACTTTGTTCAGGAGGCGGAAACAAAGTATGTCCCAAAGAAAAAGAAAACTAAGAAGGCAAGATGGCTGTCTGCTGAGACACTGGAAGTAGTCCAAGAAAGAAGGAAAGCAAAAGGAAACAGTGATAGGGGGAGATATACCCAATTTAATGCACAATTCCAGAGGTTAGCCAGAAGAGATAAAGAGCTATTTTTAAACATGCAATGCATGGAAGTCAAAGAAGGCAATAAAATAGAAAGAACAAAAAAAACTCATCCAAAATTTTAGATACACTGGAGGAAAATTTCAGGCAAAACTGGGTATGATCAAAAACAAAGATGGCAGGGACCTAACAGAAGCTGAAGAGATCAAGAGAAGGTGACGAGACTATATAATAGAAGATCTGTATTGAGGATAGCTTTGACAGTGTGGTGAGTGAATTTGAACCAGACATCCTGAGGAGTGAGGTTGAATAGGCCTTAAGAAGCATTGGTAATAACAAGGCAGCAGGAGACAACGGGACCCAGCTGAACTGTTTAAAATCTTGAAAGATTATGCTGTCAAGGTGATGCATGCCATATGCCAGCAAATATGGAAAACACAATAATGGCCATTACACTGGAAAAAAATCAACTTATATCCCCATACCAAAAAAGGGAAATGCTATAAGACTGCTCAAACTTCCATACAGTGGCCCTTATTTCTCATGCCAGTAAGGTAATGCTAAAGATCCTGAAAGGAAGACTCCAGCAATACATGGAGTGAGAGTTGCCAGATATACAAGCTGAGTTTAGAAAAGGCAGAGGAACAAAGGACCAAATTCCCAATATCTGCTGGATAATGGAGAAAGGCAGGGAGTTTCAGAAATAACATCTATTTCTGTTTTGTTGACTACTCTAAGGCCTTTGACTGTGTGGATCATAATAAATTGAGGCAAGTTCTTAAGTGGATGAGGGGGAAAGGCTAGGAATTGTGGGAGTTGAAGTTCAAAACACCTGGAGGGTCCAAGTTTGCCCATGCCTGGGTTATACTGACTAAGGGATTCTGGAAGTTGCAGTCCAAAAAATAACTTTTCTGAGCTCTGCACACAGAGAAAATTGTCAAAGTCATAGTAAATCAGCCTAACAGTTTAAAGCAAATCCTGTAAAACATCAAATTATGTAAGAGCAGAATACAGGCCATCCTCCAGAACCATGTCTTTCTAAAAGGGTATTAGATCAGCCTTTAAATAAACCTTATATAAGGAACCCCAGTTTGAAGTCGCTAATGCAGATTTCATTTTGCCAGGATCTGGATTTTAAATCCCATATATTGGGATGAATAGTATTGGATTGTTGGGACTGTTTTCCTCATCCTTCCAAATTAAGGTGATACAAAGGCCCTGAAGAAAGGAAATCAGTTTCAAATTATTTCATCACACTAGAGAATGAATCCACTTTAAATCCAGTTTCTGCCTCCTGCAGAATTCTGGGGTTTGTAGTTTAATGACACTTTTAAAGGCTCAGTTACTGTAAGTTTTTTGACTGTTTGGTCATTTTCCAGAAGCATTCTCTCCTGACCTCACAACCTCTGAGGATGTCTGTCATAGATGCAGGCGAAACTGTGGGGATTTTAAAAAAGGCACCATGATGTAATGGGTTGACTGGAAAGGCATGTGTTGGCAGCTGACTGGCTGAGCCTGCCAGGAGTCAGAATTCCGATTGGCTACTTAGCTTGCTGCTGAGAGAAACAGTTTTAACCGACCATTTTCACCTCAGAGAGTGAAGAGAGCGCTGACTGGAAACAGCCAGGAAGGAAATGCCTACCAGTTCTCTGAAGCCTGAACATTTCTAAGGCATGAAGCATATTTCAAGGACTGTTTAAAAGGACTGTTTATACTCTCTGTTCACTGTTAGAATTCAGAGAGACTGCTGTATATATTGTTGCTCTGTTTGACCTTTTGAACTGAAGTAAAGTTACTGTTACTCCTTACACAAACCTGAGTGATACATTATTATATTGTAGGGTATATTTTGGTTCAGTAACAGTGGTAAAGCTTCCGTTTATTTACATTTACAACCTCTCACAGAAACGTCAGGAGAGAATGCTTCCGGAACATGGCCATACAGCCCGGAAAACTTACAGCAAAACAGTGACTCCGGCCATGAAAGCCTTCCACAACACAGTTAAAGGCTCTTCCCTGAACTACAAAGCCCAGAATTCTGCAGGAAGCAGCAGATTTAAAGTGGATTCATTCTAGTGTGATGGGGAGAAGCTGAACAGAGGCCTTCCCACTCCCTGCCCAGAGCCCCTCCCTTCTCGCTTGAGGGCATTCCCTGGCTTCGGCTAACGCGATTTGATGATGTCACGAAGCGCGACTGGGAAATGGGGAGGCGGGGGGGGAGAGCGAAGGAGAAGCCAGGACTTCCGGTTTCTGAGGGACGGTGACGTTTTGTTTGGGAAGGCTGGGCTGGAGAGAGGCGGGGAGGCCACGCCCACGCCCCTCCCAGGGGGCGTGTCCTCTGGAGGGGGCGTGTCTTTCCTTCCATCGCCGAGTGCTGCCGTGGGCGTGGCCTCGGGCGGCGAGGGGCGTGGCTTGGAGGAGGCATGTGGGGGCCGCTCTGCCTCCTCGCCGCCCCCGTCTCTCTTCCGCGGCGCTCCTCGCCCAGCTTCGCCGCCGGACGGAGGTGGGATGCGGCTCCTCCGAGGCAGGGCCGCCCAGCCTTCTCTCTCCAGGTGCCTCCTCCTCCTCCTCCTCCTCCTCACTCCCCGGCCTTGCAACCTGTGGATGGGCTTTGGAGTGGAAGGCGAGCGAGCGGGAGGGAGGGAGGGAGGGAAGGGGTGTCCCAAAGCGCGCCTTTGCCCGAGTTTTCTTTGGGTGCGTCTACGCTTTAGAATTAACGCAGTTCGGCACCACTTTAACTGCCCTGGCTCAATGCGACGGAATCCCGGGAGCTGTAGTTTGCTTCTTTGCCAGAGGGAAGCCACACCAAACCCAAGACTCCATCGCGTAGAGCTTTGGCAGTTCAAGCGGTATCAAACCGCATTCATTCTACAGTGTAGCTGCCCCCTAGAGTTGCAGATTTGCCATCAGTCCTGCTGATGCTGCTGCCCTTCCTGCTCCCTGCCTCTCCTTGCTTTAAAATCTAGTTGCAGGGCTGTTTTCACCAGAAGGGAGGAGGGGAGAGGCTGGGCTGCTTTTCTAGGCCTGGGCAGGTACTTGCTGATGGAGCAGGTTTTTGGGAAGTGTGTCACTGCCTGCAAAACTCCCAAAACAGCACCTGAAAGCAGGAGACTGTTCTGTTGTTAACTGTTGGGGTGTTCACAATAGGTACTGCTTCGGTGGGAAGGTAATGGCACGCCAGGCAATCATGCAGGCCACATAACCTTGGAGGTGTCTATGGACAATGCCGGCTCTTTGGCTTAGACATGGAGATGTTAAGTGTTGGGGTGCCAACTCAGCCAACTTTGTCATCCCACTTGTTGTGACTGGAAATAGTATTTGGAGGAGGGCTATATGCTAAGGAGGCACTTTGGCTCCTGTTTGACCAGGTTTAAGTGACCTGGGGCCCTTCCACACAGCCCTATATCCCAGAATATCAAGGCAGAAAATCCCTCATTATCTGGGTGTTGACCTAGATAGTTCAAAGCAGATATTGTGGGATTTTCTGCCTTGATATTCTGGGATATAGGACTGTGTGGAAGGGCCCCCACTTAAACCTGGGCCAAGAGGAGCGAAAGCAGATGTTCTGGGATATAGGGTTGTGTGGAAGGGCCCCGGGTCACTTAAACCTGGGCCAACAGGAGCAAAAGTGGATATTATGGGATATAGGGCTGTGTGGAAGGGCCCCAGATCACTTAAACCTGGGCCAAGAGGAGTGAAAGCAGATATTCTGGGATATAGTGCTGTGTGGAAGGGCCCCAGATCACTTAAACCTGGGCCAAGAGGAGCGAAAGCAGATATTCTGGGATATAGGGCTGTGTGGAAGGGCCCCAGATCACTTAAACCTGGGCCAAGAGGAGTGAAAGCAGATATTCTGGGATATAGTGCTGTGTGGAAGGGCCCCAGATCACTTAAACCTGGGCCAAGAGGAGCGAAAGCAGATATTCTGGGATATAGGGCTGTGTGGAAGGGCCCCAGATCACTTAAACCTGGGCCAAGAGGAGTGAAAGCAGATGTTCTTGGATATAGGGTTGTGTGGAAGGGCCCCAGGTCACTTAAACCTAGTCCAACAGGAGCAAAAGCAGATGTTCTGGGATATAGGGCTATGTGGAAGGGCCCCAAGTCACTTACACCTGGTCCAACAGCAGCAAAATAGGATATAGAGCTGTGTGGAAGGGCCCTTAGATTGGAAAGTTTACATGACTACTTTCTGCAAAGAAACCTAATGAAAGGTCTGTCTTGAATCTGTTTCTGAGGATGAATCTGCAAGGCAGTTTGACACTGCTTTGACTCCCAGGACTGAATGCTATGGAATCTTGGGATTTGTAGTTTGGTGAAGCACCAGCACTCTTTTGGCATTGTCAGACTACAACTCCTATAATTTCATAGCATTCAGCAGTTAAAATGCTGTCAAACTGCACTACTACTACTACCACCGCTTAAGCGGCTGAGGGGGAAAAGGAAGGGGCCTGAGGCTGTTAGGAATTGTGGGAGTTGAAGTCCAAAACACCTGGAGGGAAAGCCAAGATTGCCCATGCCTGGTATAGATGTACTCTGAGAGAGCAGCTATGTCTATCACAACAATAAGGACAATGGGCTAAATCCTCCAACCACAGGAGACCCTATTGAATCCATAGGTGATTGTCTCTTGATTCAATCTCTTGCCATTGTATCTAGACCAGAAGTATTTAAATGAAATGCCATCCTCAACTGCTAGATCAGTATGCAAACATGCAGGTTGAACAAGAAGAGGGAGTGAAACCAAGGAAATACTGAACATAGGACTTCTTGTCGATGAGGAGCTCAGGGCGGTGTTTCCCCCAGTTCTTTCTATCTGTTTAATTATTATGTATTTAATTAATTTATTTTCATCTTGGCTTTTTCCCCAGTGTCTGGACTCAAGGTAGCTGATGATAAACATGAAACAATGCAGACCAAAAAAATGCATTAAAATGTAAATATAAAGATTAAGGAGCTGCAATGGCACAGCAGGTTAAACCGCTAAGCTGCAGAACTTGCTGACTGTAAGGTCAGCAGTTCGAATCCGTGGGATGGGGTGAGCTCCCGTTGTTAGCTCCAGCTTCTGCCAACCTAGCAGCTCGAAAACATGCAAATGTGAGTAGATCATTAGGTACCACTTCAGTGGGAAGGTAATGGCACTCCATGCAATCATGCAAGCCACATAACCTTGGAGATGTCTATGGACAATGTTGGCTCTTTGGCTTAGAAATGGAGATGAGCACCACCCCCAGAGTCAGACACGACTAGACTTAATGTCAAGGGGAAACCTTTACCTTTACTATAAAGATTAAATACTATTTATTAAAGATTAAAAGACCAATAAAAGGTTAAAAGACTATTAAGCCTTTTATGTTATTGAAACCATTAAACTTAAAAAGTCATTCAAACCCCACACCCAGTACCACCTTCTGGGTTGTTCTGAAAGGTCCAGAGACCTGAACTATCTCTGGGACGGATTTTTTTCTTTGCTCCAAGCCTTCCTGGTTTGAGGTGAGCAATTATGGTCCTCAAGGTGTTTTTGGTCCATAACCTTATTATTACAGTCAGTGCTGAAGCATTAAGAGACTAGGAGGCCAAAAACTTCTCAAGATCCATAGCTGTCTGTCCCTGACCTAGATGTTGCTGGCTTTTTATTCTTAGCTCAGGAACATTGGTCATCTCAGCATAGGTCTTCATTCTGAGTTGTTGTTATGTCACGATACACAGCACTTTTCAAGTAAAAGATCTACAGTGTTCCCTGTCCTCAGGTTTAAAATCAAATGAAGACACGGCACAGAAGAAAAAGGGGAGGCCAGTGTGCAAAGGGATTAAGTCTTGCAGATAGACCTCTTCTTTTCTCTCTCTGATGCAAAGACATTAGCATTTGGGATGGAGGCAGGGCCCATCTCCTGCTTCTGGGCCTAGGCATGATGGTTATTTATTTATTTTGTATCAAAAGCATTGCATAAATAAGCATAAAACTAGTAAAAATAGAAGGAGCACAAGCGGCTAATTATTTTTTGACCAAAAACAGGCAACAGCAACCGCATTGTCTGTAGCTTTAAACAATTCTTCCTGTGTACATGAGGCAGGACATTGTGGACAAGCATACAGATGAGGAGTTGCTTGTTCTGCTCCCCAGTCACACAAGGTGGAGAATTCTTCTAGGTAGTACCATTTTGCCAGGTTGTCTTTTGATCTGCCCACACCACTTCTGAGTCTGTTCAGTTGCCCATTCTTGGTTTGCCGATGATGATGCTGATGCTGATGATGAATGCCATTGAAAATTCCCAAAAAAATAACTGTGATGTGTTTTGAGCTACTTTAGGGGCTGTATTCAATATGGTTAACACACTAGTTTTCTTTTTGATAGTGATTATTGGTAGTATCCATGGGAATTTGTACATGCAATGTACATAAAGCTGCCATTGGTTATGTCATTTATGGCAACTGGAAAAAGGAATTCTCTGGTTGGAAATTCTTGCTGGCTACCACTGTGATTAGGTGCATTTCTGTACAGGAGTGTGTGGGTATGCAGTTGGCAAATGGCCAGTTATGATTGTTGCTTGTAGAGTTAAAAAAATATTGTTTGAACTGCTCCCAGCTGCTGACACAGAGGTACATCTTGAGTTCAAATAGAAAATGACCTTTGTACTTGCTGCATGTCCATGTGTCAATTTAATGTGTGCAAAAATGGAAAATGTCTGTAGTTGAAATACTAAGATGCTACTTTTATCATAAGTTTTGTCTCTTCTTCTTATGTAAAGCCCGGACACTTTCATTTTTGTGACATGCCCATAAGTCCTGTTGGCCACCTCCTGTTTTGTACAGGATGAGTTTTGCCTTTCTTTTAGCTTTAGCCTTGACTTGCTTGCTTGGAGTCTCTGAAGACAGGGGCCCACTGAGCAGATTACATGCCAGAGAACATTCATTTTGGAGTTGCGATGAATCTCAGCCTGGATTTCATGCCAGTAGTGTGTGATATTAGTACATGAATCACTGACTTTTGGCAGGAAGCAAAGCATGACAGTTTTCTAGCTCTTTTTCAGCTTCGTACTTTTAGTTTGAGAATAACAGTTTGTACTAAGGACAGCTAATACTAAGAATATCTGACCAAGGGATCCCTTATCTCAAGGAATCTTTAAACTGAGGCCAAAGGCCTTCTTGAAAGGTATTGGCAAAGTCTCTGGTAGTCAGTTTAGTGGCAGTTTGCTGTTTCGCAGCTAGCGGATGTCATCTGTTTTCATGTATTTCCTAAAAACCTGCAAGACAAGAATGTTTGCTCAGATATCTATCTTACACCCGAACCATGTGGTGGACTAAAACTCCTCTATGTTGTTTGAAGATGATCAGCATTATCATCCAACACATTTTTGGATCACCAGCATAGACAACACTGTTGTACGGTGACCTTAATAGACACAGTGACCTGGTGTTGAAACCAGATATGCTGAATATGTTGGCTATTACAATTAGCCATTTTAAAAAAAGATGTAAAGAAACCATATTCTTTGTGTTTGAGAAGCCTAAATGTATGTAGGTTACAGAGCCATCCCCTAAATTTATATTGTGC